TCCCTAATTTTCCAAGTTGTACATATAGTCTAAGATTATCTGATATCTTATTTCTAAGCCAAGAAAGAACCTGAAAGCTGTCTGTCACCCTTGGGAGCAGGTTGGTACAACAGCAGGAGTACTGTGTGTACAGCTCAGTGGAAGCTAATTATGGTAGAAAACATTTGGTCTCCCGAGATGTGGCCATTCATCAATCCCTGTCTCCCTGCCATCATGCACGGTTACATCCCCAGCATGCTGTATGCTATCTCTGCTCCCTCTTCACTCATTTCTGTGCAATAACACGTCCCATGATGGGAAAATGGGAGCCCCAAGTTGCCAGCTAGAACCCCAGTCATAAATTACCACAGGTTACTGCTCCAGGCACAGCTGTAAGCCGTTCTCCTCACAATACCATGATAGGCTGTAGGGTGAAATTCACATGGATAATGACGTGACTGTACAGTATCACCACATGCCTGGAGATATGATTTTTTGTGCTTTCCATGGATTTTTGCAGAAAAATTATGGAATATGAACTGCTACAACATGAGCCACAGAGTCAGCATACTCAAATCTCCTGTATAAGGAACATACAGTCAACTATACTTTTATTTTTTCTTGTCAAAGATCAATCAGGTCCATTCTTACTTTGAAAGGTACGTTTAATTATTTCTAAAAAGATCAGACGGCATTGACAGTATATCATCTAATAGCACAATACCAAGTTGTCCAGGCATAACTTAGTTTCAATGGCATCGCAGACACAAAGTAAAAGCAATCCCATAATTTGCAGGTGTGGTGCAGGGAATAATTGTCGAGCACATTTTACACAATGTCATGTGCCTCTCTACATGTAAAAACGATTCCTTCTCTATTAACTGTAAATTATATTTAGGAACACCTATTATCGTAACAAATTGAAAGTATGTGCTTTGGACATACATGTAGCTAACTTAATGTGGCCTAGAAACAAAGGCTTTCCCTATACTTCAGGGCAAAGTAATCTGTAAGTCTACATTCAAGATTTACACATACTTGCAGCTCACGGGTAATAATCGGGTATCAAAGGAACTTTACACGTCATATAAAATTTTAAAAGCAATAAAAAGAGTAGCTTCACAACAAGTTGCCATTAAACCATAGCCGTAAAATTCCAGCTTACTCTGCAAAAGAAGAAACTGTTCCCTAATCGCTTTTGCACGACTGGCTTCAGTCTGCCTTCCAAGAGTTTTTAATGACGTCTCTTGTGACCCTATTAGGAACAAAAGTGCAGTTTATTCCATTACACTTCCTTCTCTTGCCTTTCACTTGAGAGGTAATTTGGCCAATTTATTCCATAAGATGCCTTCGCGGGCAGACCATAGTCCCTCAGTACCACTGAGATGCCCCAGCCACTGCCATTACCAATGACATTGCTTCACCTTTATGGGGAAAACTGCCTGCAGCATTGCTTTGATGGCTACATGGAAGGTCAGGGGGTTACCACTTAAAATGTTGGAAAAGTTTCTTTTGGAAGATGCAGATCTGGTGCTGATCCCAACTTTATTGGAATACAAACATAATCCTTGCTAAGGGGCTGAAGACAAATGAAAATACATTACGAATGGCTATCTTTCACTTACATGTTGACATGTACTGACTGTGATGGTTACTACTGCATAACTACTTTTATGTCAGACAATAGGGATCAAATTGCAATACTCTTCCAAGAAAATACATAGCCAAGTACAAATGCTGTAACATTCTATTTTTGCATTACTGCATCAGAAATACTACTGCACAGCTTACTTTCAGTCATTGTTTCAATTTTCGTGGTGACTTCTCAACCACAAAATCACGACTGTCACAATATATATAATTTAATATGTACATCAGATCCATTGTATTTCTACATGTACTCCACTACAGACTTGTTCATATAAGGCATCACCATGCTACTTGTCTGAATTCTTATCTGAGGTTAAACTCAACAAAAACATTATTCAACCACCCACTGTTGCTTAAAGCACTTAGTCTTATTCCATACCCAATTATGATTGAGGGACTGCAAGTTTGCCTTTTGTACTAACCCTGTGGGACATGAAAGTTCAGCACCTCACATTAATGCAGTTCCCAGTGTACATGTGCCCCCAGCAACCTTTTAACAACAAAAAATCACCTTGCTTGTTCCCTGTGCCAAATCTGGTTGTAGGGTGCATGCAGGCACCATTATGGATTATACTAAAACACTTAGTAAGTATATTTCTATCCCCTTTGAGTCTGAAAGAGTATGTGATGTACACATGAAGCTATAGTTTATGTACCTGGGAATTTGGCTACTTTATGGGGCTGCTTTCATTACACCATGAATGCTCACGTTTATTGCTAAGTTTTTACTAGTCCTGTTTTAGTGCTTGCACAGCTGTGTGGCCCAAGGGTTATAGAAATAGAGATGAGCACTGTCCAAATACCATGGAATGTAGGAAGGGCTTTGACTTGAAACTTTGTAATGAGTTGTTTGTACTTTGATACACTATAGTTCTGCATCTTCTGCTTGAATGCTTCATTGTGTTTCATTTTAAACATGATCAATTCCACTCAAAAACATTACATGCGAGTTGCCTTAAATCTCTCTCCACCTGTTCAAGTCTGCACTACTACTAATAGATGAAGAAATAAGTTAGATTCACTCTATGTTTTAGTTTATCTAATTATGCGGAAATGAACTATGCAGACTATAAGTTAAGTCCCTGACAATTAGCAAAAAATCATTATCAGAAATCATATTTTGAAGTCATTTACTAATAGCTGCTTGAAGAACTATCATCTTTTGCAGTCAGTAATGTAAAAATTAACGAAGAAAAATGTATCTATGTATATTGACATATTATATTTATAATGTTTACACATACATTAGCTTTTAGCTTTCAGTAATTCCTGTTAGCATGTAATGTTATGTATTACTCTAATTTTAGTCACAATACTGTAATAAAACTGATTATGATTTAGCTAATTTGATAAATTGTAGTATTTATTGTGTTTATGTTTTATTGTATTAGAAGAGGGCTCTAATAAGATTAGTGAGTGTTTCACTCATAGAGATTTTAAATAAAGAAACAAACAAACTAATATACAAGAACAACCTTGTGAAATTATTTTCCCATACTTTGCTCACACATGTATGAACTAGAGGAATGAGAGTGCAGACAAGCAATTTACCTGATATTGTCTTCCTGGGCTGTTCTGGTTCACGTTCCGGGGTTTCAAACACATCAGGGCGTGATATGGACGTGGCAGATTTATCAGTTCTTTTCATGTGAGACACAAAATTTGTTATTGACGACGGCGGCGCCTTTTTCCCCGAGAAGGCAAGCTTCGCAGCTGCAGCAGCTGCTGTCTGGGGTGCTGAAACATCTGCTGCAGGTGTACCGTTTTCAGGTTCTACTGTGAAAGTAGGAAGGAAAATATGAGAGATAAAAACTTGATATGTAATGGTTTGTCAACAGCAATATGGTTTTATATGAACTTTAAAAGCAAGTAAAAGTGCATGTTAATGAATTCAAACTTATTTGTGCTATTCAGATATAAATCTGTTGCCTAAAATTACTTTTAGTTAATTAATAATTAATTAGAGTCAGATTTACCGAGCTAAGACTAACTCATGGGCTAAAACATTTTTGTGCACTACCAATCTCTGCTGATAACTTTTCTGATAATATAAATGTCATCTGCAACTTCCACCAACAAGTATAAAGTACTTACCTCCCTGACTCTTGTCTTCTTCTCTTTTGACTGTTTTCTTTTTCTGCATCCTCATGAACTGTTCCATGAAGCTGCCATCATTGACAAACTTGTTGACCACACTGGAGGGGCCAGGGGAAACCTGCACAGGGGGTGGGGCAGTCTGACTGGACCTGTGGACAAACACAAACAACATGAACACTGGAGGGGAAACCTGCACAGCCAGTGGGGCAGTCTGACTGGACCTGTTGAAGACTCAAAAACATGAACAATACAATGATGGGTGGCATCATTTGCTCCAATGCAATATGTGTTTTCTTTCTAGCACATCTTTTTTGTATCTCCAAGTAGTTGAAAGTGTTAAAAGGAATCAAAACATTATAGGATTGTAGTTTACCGATATCATTGAGGCTATTTCTTAATATTGGTGAATACCCTAAGACATCCCTACACCCTACATGTACATTTTAGCAAAACAATTGAGATAAATCTACCAATATAGTGTGCATGTAAATTCATAGATAGATTTTCTTTAAGCCAGCAGGCCATCTTTGCATGGAGGGCAGTATTGGGAACATAAAGGCAGATTTGTCTGGACTCCTAATATAGACCATCCCTTACAAAATCAATGACGATTGTCTCCTGTCATTGCCGAGTACATCAATCATTTAACACCAATAAAACGTGAAACTACTTGCAAGCATGTATAGTGAACTCTTAAGTGCAGGAGTCAGATGTTTGCCACCTTTGGTAAGCTGGCACGATGTCATATTGAGTCCCACAGATAAAGCCTATCTCTGACCCCCCATTTTTCTCTGCCTTTTCCGACGATCAATGGTTGTTATGTCGCTCTCCTCCAATCAATAAAGACGTCTTGTATCCGCATGGGCAGGTCACAAGCTGCTTCCTAACTGTGTTACCATTGATCCTTTCTGTCGGATTTAAGTGGATTTGTAGGCACATTGTTGGGGTGATGGATGATGATATGTGATTAACTGACATGCGAGGGGAAATTGATGTTGGAGATGCGACCTGTGTGACACACGACAGAGCCTGAACTGGCACGTTATGCCGTTATTCCGTCCTAATTGATGTTGGAACACAGATTTGCTGTCCATGATGGCTGTTCATGTTCATGTATTAAGACAGTTACTGAACTGCACCACTGAATTATTTTGCAACCTTACTCTCATCACCAGACTGCATGAATGTTTCATGCAAATTCCAGTGTTCTGATACTTGATTTAAAACGAGCAGAGAACTTCTGCCGGTAATAATGTCCACCAAATGCAAAAAGTGAATTTAAAAATGGTCAGAGAAGTGAAACTTTGTTAGTTCAGTTCATCCTTCAGGTGACACCATGTACTGTCTCCACAACTTTGTTAACTCAGGCAATTTAGAAGTACATTGTACATGTATGAATCCATCCATATAGTGTGCCTGGACATACAAAATTTTGCAAATCCGTGGGATAGAAAGCAATAGAATGTCATCTTCATGGAGGTAAAAATGGAGGGAGGTAAAAATGCCTCCATTTTTTAATGTCACCCAGAGTCAAAAGTGATATCAGAAATACATGTACAATGTCATGTAGTACCTTCAGATTGACTTTAATCTGACAGTGTCTAGTACTTTTAGAAATACTATTAACAGCATCCGGATTAAATTTGGACAGTCCAGTTTAATTCCGGACTATTTCCCATATCTCAGCAACCTTACATCTAGATGGGCTAATGTTGTTAACTACAGGAAAAATGATGTAAGAAAAACGTAGCAGCCATCAAGGACCCCTTAAGGGTTAACCCAATTCTGCAGAATTCTGGGAACCCGAGCCAGAATTCTGGGACTGAAGCCAGAATTCTGGCTCCGGTTCCAGAATTCTGCAGAATTGGGTTAACCCCTACTAAAGGGGTCCTTGATGGCTGCTACGTTTTTCTTACATCATTTTTACCTGTAGTTAACGACATTAGCCCATCTAGATGTAAGGTTGCTGAGATATGGGAAATAGTCCGGAATTAAACTGGAAGTCCGGAACTAATCTGGACACTGTTTATTAAATTTCAATATAGAAGTATGTGTGTGTAAATACTGGAACAGAAAGTGTACATTGATAATTATGATTTTAACGAACATTTTTCTGGATGAAATCTGGACTACCACATACATGTAGCAGTTGCTGATGATGTTGTAAACACACTCTACTAAAGAGGTGGGAGTGCTGGAGGCTGAGTTAGCATGCTCCCCCACACTGACACTGATCACATCACTAATCCTTACTGAACTGCACTCAGCATCATGCTATGAATGTTAAACATATAGAGCATACCTTGTACACAGTCTCAGTGCTGCACAGGTCTAAAATCTACATAAAGCTGGCAAATGTACTGGAATTATATTGTACCAGGTAGTGAAGACCAGATCAGTTTGATTTCTTTGTGCTCATTTTGACAACGATTTGTGTTGGGAGAGATGATGGAGATACTGGTTAGTACTTGCAGTACAAATATTTTGATACTCAGTAATTATATCTCAGTTCCATGATAACGTTAAACACTTCACCAGTAAAACCTGTTGTTTACTACTAGTACTAGTAAAATAAGTCATCCTGACATGCATGTTGTATACCTAACAGTTCTTCTACATTACTATATGTTAACATGATTATACAATCATGTCATATATAATAAATGAGAATTCCTTCTTATTTAAGGCACATTTTGTAAAATCTACAAGAGTCTCAAAACTATTTTCAATTCTGACATAATTTCAAGCGTTTGAAACAAAACAGAGCTCTTACACTTTAGGTACAAGTTAAGTTGTGCTGTACTGTGCAGTTGTTATGGTTGCTTTGAGTCAGATTGAGATGAGTGGAACTACAGGAATGACATGGAGATAAATCATGTTTTAAGAGCCCTGCAGGAAAACTGTGTAATCAGGAGTCCATATGAGGAGGGGCAGCAGGGATCGTAATTTTACACACAAGAAATCTTCAACAATGACTTAGCCAATACTGGTTTCAAGTCCATCAGGACATGCAGTTAGGAATCTTCCACTATTCACAGCTTGAGACCTTGCCAGTTACAGGCTGAGATTTCTCCTGTGACATGGGGAACCCTTTTGATGCCTACATGTTAGCTGTATGAATCTATCTTTTTCAAACGTCCTTCAAAGTCAGATAAGGGCAGATGGATGCTATTACATGAAGGTGGGTGGTGAAGCACACTGCTGGTCCATGTATTGATCAGGTTAAGTAAGACTGAGTGGGACAAGTGTTGCCGTGCCGCCTTTTCTTACCAACACATCCGTCAGGAACACCCCCAGAATGGTTCATGTATGAAAACATGAGGTATTGACAGCTGAAATTCAAACAGATTCATCCTGCCAAGTGCTTCCATACTCAAAGCTGACAGAAACCTGATATAGAATTCAAGATTGACTTTGACCTCTAGGTTCAAGTTCACCGGTTGACTTTGATGAAGACTGCAATCACTGCGGGTGCACTTACTCCTGAGGTTACACATTTGTTGTCCTACATTATCCATTGATGTTGTTATAGATAGACAGCATGATCCCGTGTAAGTATGCTGTGCTTGAGTAGAGGTTGACATCGCCATTGATTGGCACCTGAAATAGACTGCTGGCTTTAACATGGCATGCTCGCAGTGCTTTATTCCCAACCAACAAATGAAAGTACAGTTAAGTGGCATTTAAAAAGGGGTACATACAGGGTGGTTACGAGGCCAACTTTTAGCTCACAGAAGCTCAAAATTTCAAATTGGTACAAGATATTGCTTTAAGCAACTAGTTTTGAAAGTTGATATTGAATGACATGAATGGTATCAAATGGTGTATAATCAAGGTACATGTACATGTACACTATTTCTTACAATTGTGCATCCTGCAGTAATATACTGTATGTACACGTGTATGCAAAGAGGCAATGCATAAACTCATTATTGCATACTTGCACAAAGTGCCTACATTTGTATATCTAAGTTGGCATTTAATGTAACTGCTGTAAAAGCTAAATGTGCACTTCAATAACATACATGATACAATACATGTCCATGTGTTTGACATGCATACTTGATATTGTGTCCCAGTTTACAAGGTTTTCCTCACTCCACAAGTGTAAAACGAGTACTTCTGGTTGGAGAGTTTAAAGTTAGTGGATGGAGAGGGATGGGCCCTGCCTTCCAATGCAATCATGTGCCCAAGACAATAGACACAATGGATTAACAACCAACACCCCCTACAGTCTCAACTTTTGGACCTTTACCCTGTTTTTTAATATCTGCCTTACTGTAAGGTAGCTTTGATTGATATACATTTAAAGTCAATCAAACAACTTTTAGAATAAGATATATAGAAAATTACAAGAAGAGCAGCTGGCAAATTTGTCTGAAATGCACATGAAACATCATTGAATTGGAATGAGTAAGGTAAAATATGACTATAATGTAACCCATATGCCAGTCTCCAAATTTTAATCAGATTACTGAAGACAGACGTGGTGATAAAAACTGGATTAAGCTGGGGAGAATTTTTACACTCCAGGCACTCAGACCATTGCAGATGTAATTGGAAGAATTAGAGTGCTGAATCAAATTATTTATTCCATGTGTCAGCATAGAAGTTTTGTTCTTTCTCTGTAACAATTTGCCTAGCTCCCACTTTCTGCAGTTAACTTTTTTAAAGATATCTAATTAGTCTCATCTGAAAAAAATGTGTAAAGACAGAAGGTGGATAAAAAGAGGAGCTGCACAGTACAGCATAAGGTGGCAACATCTGTGACAAGAGTGACAACATCTATGTGTACAGTGACAATTTGACATTTGTAATCTGATTTATATAATGTATTCAAAATGTCAAAAGTGTTTCCAGTCATTTCCTATCCCTTGAATGTCAAAATGACTATCATATTACTAGATACAGATCATACGATTTCAGATGTAATGTCTCATTCCCACCACATAATAGTCATGGGACAGTGTTACCACCTCAAAGCACAAGTAATCAACCCACGATAACCTCAGCAGAGTCCCTGTGCTAATGTTTATTTGCTGGTCCAACATAACTCTGGATGGGTGGCTGAGACATTTGTACAGAGATGGGCCTACTGTACATGTATATGGGTAACCCAGGGGAGGGTTAAGTTAATCTTAATGTGACACTTTTGAGTGAGATACAGAGTCTTCTTGCATGTATTTTTGCATCTCATCTTGGCACAGATTATGAAGGATTAACAAAACACAGCCTACACAAAATGTATATCATAATCCACTTATGGCCTGATGAACAGCTAAATTGTAGCTACTGTAGGTACACATTGGCCTCTTCTTAATGCACTATGCACCAGTCGAAAAATTACATTAGAGACAACATCCCAACTGTATCAAATCCAATTCTAGAAAGATTGAATACATTAAATTGTTATATAATCAAATATCTGACTTACAAAACATCATTAACCTTGTAATTCTTACTTATAATTGTGTCTGAATTTAATTTTAGGAATATTTTTAAGTCTATTTCTATAAACCTTTAAATTCTCTCTAATACATACACTTAACGTTAAACTGAAAACCTTTCTTTCAGCCTTTGTTTGGATTATCCTTCACTGCCGCCAGTGACAGTAACTTGGCTTCCCAGTTCTCACAAACTACTATAATCAAATACCTCATGGAATCTATCAAGCAAAATAACTGACTGAGACTTACAATTTCATGAGCAACTGATATTTGTGTATATCTCAATTTTCTGCCTCTTTGGGCCACTGCTCTATTACAATTTCCAAAGCACAGTCAGTTCTATTGCTTTATTACTCTAGGGAATTTCATTTCAATTCTGTATACTTTTCTATACATCTTAAACTGATTATACATTTGGATACCCATCCTGGCAAATTTTCATATGAATACATTATGCAAATGTCTGAAACAATTACAGCACTAATTAGTTTTGTATCACTGCTGTGATCGATAAACTGCTGCTCAAGCACCATTACCTTAGCGGTACCTGTTGAGAAAGTGATTTGTCTGTGTGTTAATAGATAATATTTATAGATTAAACAAGCACAAAAGAAATGACAATGTATATTTACATGTGCAGCCCTCTACCATTTCTACAGGTAATGTGAAATAATATAATAAGTATAGCAAATATAGTATAAAATGTTAATTCATTTAATAATATGTAATTTTACAGTTGGAGGAAGGTATGATTGTCACTGTGTTTCATATTACATCTGTAACAATACTGAAGTAATAAAACAATATACATTTTTAAAATGTCCTGAATTTGTGGCAAAAGGTTCTCTGTGAAATCTGTAGGAAAAAAACTACAGTAACTGCAAACATATAAGAATTTACAGTACTTCAAAGGAAATGAATGAGAAATACCATGTGGATAAAATTTTACCTTGAAGTTCACTTGTCACATGCGTATCATTCCTATTAGCTGATAAGTATGTATAATAATATTCATACCAAATATGTTGTGCAACAATATTTTACCATTTATGGATGATAATGGGAGCTCCTTTTCACAGTAAACTGTTAATTTGTCAGTGAAAGATGTATTCACTGAATGATAAATGCATAGGGAAAATGGAAGTGTCAACCCTACTCCAGATTGAACTTTTCATCCACCATAAACTACGTAAATCATATCCTTGGAACAGAGGAGAGGTAATTAGACTTCCGTTTCTATAAACAATGTCTACTTGCATGTGCTTGTAGCTATAGAGGCTTACGCTTACTGTGAATCAAATATATGTACAGCCCTCCAATTGCAACCTATGTGTGAGTGATTTTTCTATAGAATACAGTGCTCCCACTGGGCAATTTGAGAATACATTGTGTGTAGCTGCTCTAATATGCTGTCATCAGTAAATGATGCTGTGATTTTGGCGACTACGTGTATGCTGTGTTTCCTTCTGGGGAAAAAAACAATTAGCACATCATACTGGAAATTCCTACACTGTGGGAACACATTGTGCATCTTGAATGAAGTTGATATGAATTTCCATCTGATTCAGTATCTACAATATATAACTAGGTGACCATTAGTATAATTCCTTATTCCCAGGCTGAACTCTAGATCTGTTTCAAATTGTTCACTTCTTTTTAGGACGAGCTCTATCACATGTACATGCACATGTATTAATCTCATGAAGGAATCTATAACTTCTTGGGCTATTCTATCTACAAACAAGTACAAAGTAACCATCGGAGGTATGAACAAAGAAAAAAATTGATACCAGCAGAAACATCACTTGTTCTTATGTTTGTAGTAGGTTATGTAGAACTGGTAGCAGAGTACTATACTCACTTATGACTTAGTGGACTGTCAGATTCAAAAGGATGTCAAAGAGGGAATTCTATATTTGACACTACTAGTGGCACAATGAAAGTCAATATTCCATGAAAAAAATTCATACATCAGATTCTATTCAAACATCCTAAATCATTTTGACTGCTTCTTGGGGTGAAATTTCAGCTAGAAAACACCTTAGGATACAACAGATTAAATTTTACTACTCACAGTGCTTTTCCTTTTAGTTTGGCCAATTTCTTCAGCCTTTCTTCTTCTTCCTTCTTCTTCTGTTCTGCCATCCTCTTTTCAATCTCCTTCTTCTTGAGCTCGATGAGTCTCTCCTGTTGAGACAGGCTCTGAGCCCGGCTCATGCGGTCCTGGGTGGCCTGCTGGTACCCCCCACTGTACCCCGGCTGCCCCGCCGGGTACTGGCCCTGTCCCCCTCCTCCGTACGAGCCTCGGTGAGCCATGCTTCTCCCGCCGCTGCTCACGGTGTGATCTGAAAGAGAAATATCATCAACTCACCCATATGTATAAGCCAGCCTCAGCCTGTGATAGGCCTGGAAGGTAGCCAATAGGAGACTAAGACTGGGGATGATCACTGTCAGTGGGGAATACCATTATGCACCATCTGCTTATGCATGGAACACATATACATGTAGGAACGTGGTGATGTTCTCCTTGGATGCCTTTAATCTGCAACCTTGGGTTCACAAAATAAAAATGTACAGACTTTATATGTATTATCCTTCTCATGAGGTCTGCCATAAATGTAGAATATACGTATATTCTAAATCTCTCTTTTTAAATGAATGTGCAACTGACAAGGGGTTTGTGTCCTGTTAATCTACATGTATGAGCAGTTGTTTTGCAAACGTGGTTTCTACATGTAAATTCTACATTTTCCACACTAATTCAATTTTCTCTGTACTATGTTAGTCCCACAATAAGATTAACTCTGATAACTGCATAAGAAATGTCCATGGAGAAGTGGTGATACATCCATGGAGAAGTGTTTGTACATGTACTAAATATAACTTAGTACCTTCCATGGGGAGCTCCATGTTGGGGTCTTGTATAAGTGCAACAAGTTTCATCATGACCTCCTTGTACACAATTACATGGGTCATATCACCTTAGAAGATATTTTAAAGCTCTAGAGAGGAGCTCTACAGACCGACTAACAGTGTTTGGCAGCTCCACGCACTATGAATGCAAACATATGGTTCATGCCACCATCCAAATAAAGGTAGACCTCTGTGGTGAAACTGTTACAAGCTACATGAGAACTCTTCCAAATAAAATCTTTCATTGCACTTGGCAAAGAAGTTTCATGTTCATGTCACTCTGAAGAAGCTCTACAGACCACGTAATTACAGCTTGAGATTATAAATGCAAACTGATGAGCTGATATTCCTACAAACCCTACTGGGACTATGAATAATGGTAAAGATAAAAGACTACAAATAAGACTGTAACTAGTTAAAAGTTACCGTAACTGCTTTCCTTGTCAACATATAGATGTGTGATTTCCTTAGATATCAGTTCACTCCACCTACATGTAGAACAGTCTTTTCAAGCACCTTGAGTGCAACACTCTGGATAATTCATATGCCAGGAGGCTTTCATGTAAAGGGAACAGGAAGTAACTTGATTTGAGAATCACTTCTTATGATTTGATCAGACCACCTGTCAGATAGTTTGAGTTTGAGGTGACGCACATCAAAACTGACACACAATATATATACAGTACCTGTCAAGTTGGGGCGTCATCAAACCTTACTGATTCAAGCATTTGATATGGTTTGACATCACTTACAGATCAAAACTGTCAGGTACATTTGAAGTAGGCTCATTTACATTCATATCAGATACACCATTGCAACACCTATCTGACTCAATGGTTCTGACAGTTTCGCTTCCAAAATAATGGGGCAAGGGAGATGAAATCTAAAATAAAAGTAAAATCAGACAGGCATCTTGCGATCCATTCAAATGCCACCACAGGGACCGGATAGTCAACATACCAAGCAGGCTAATGTTTTAAACAATGAATTTTCAATTTACAGTGCATCTGATGAATCTTTGGTGAAAGCAAGGACAAAGAAATTAAATTGGCAAAGACTAAATGTGATTATTATACATAGTGATACAACATACAGATTTGTGGGGAATGAGTTTGAAGTGAATAGCTGTAAGGGAAACCCGGTTACACTACCTTCAGCACCAAGGACAGGGTAATTGCTGATGTTTTTCAAATCATGGCAAAATAACAAGTAAAATGAATTTTAGAGTGAGTTGGAGTAGTCAATGGGGCCCCAAATTACACTACATTCAGCAGATTAAGTTACTGATGATAATTTGCAAAAAGAAAACAGAAATTGCTGATACATGATTTATGACATTCTCTTGATCAGCAACAGCACATTTACACGATAAGTATTATTTTATTTCATTTACACATATAATAATCTTCAAGAACATTCATAATTACAATGTATACATGTAGCTAAGTAGAGAAGAGGAAAGTCAATCAAAAATTTAAACCATAGTAAGTGAAATTGGCATACCCTACCCCACTGGCCAAAAATGATTGGCTTGATAAAGCAGAATTCCTTCTAACAACTGTGTTTCACAAAGACATAAAGTCAGTCTATGAAAATGGCATAAAAAGGTCACCATGAAGGACAGAGACTGCTACCACTATAACTTCAGCTTTATTCCAACCAAAGAGCACCAAAGCTGGCAGGATTATTGATCCAATAAACTTCAACTTCGGCTATAAATGGCCCGGGTTAATAGTATGGAATAAATACTACAGTATGCTGGACCCTTCCATAGTGGAATTCGGCATCAGGACTATACTGTGTTTTGGCTGGACATGAAATTTAGAGTAAGCTTTAGGTTTACAATGTACCTTGAAACTATAAATGTTACATAAATGTAGCTTTTTTGTGTAAAATTCTACATCATTTCAATGTACATGAATTTTGTCTTATGTACATGTCACTTCTACATGGTCTGTTTTATTGTTACCAAGTTCCTATTCAGTAACAAGGACAGATAAATAGCAGCGTCTGAGACAAAGAAAACCTACATGTACCTATAGTCAATCTTCTTCATGTTGTATTCAGTACCAGGGACAGATCTAACACTTGCGAAATCTGTATTCACAACAACAGACCTGTCCTGCACCAGCCATCCTTTGACTTGCATAATCAGCACTGGGGGTTATCTTTATATTCAATATACTTTACAACCCACTAAAACACTACATCTTTTCTTCATTCCCTAAAGGTTACATTAGAATTTAGCAGTAAGGAAAAGATCAGCGAGCTTCAATGTATCAATGTGGTGATATCCTATATAGGATCTAGAGTAATCCTGTTCAGCATTCTACTTTGAACCTACCCCTATCAACTATAGCTTATCAGCCCATCACAGCAGGTTACAAAAGCCAATATCTCGCTTCCTGCAAGGACGGAGATAATACAATATCCAGACAAAGCAGCTGGAATCTTTGATCTGCGGGCTTGTATATGGCATTTTTCATAAAACCTTTCCATTGCCTGAGGCAGGAGTGAAATATGGTGCAGCGCACACTGGTCCCTGGGGGTACATAACTGCAGCAAAGGTGCGCACCAGATAACAGAGATGCAAAACGGGTCTGATTCCTCATGAAACTTTCTCTCATCTATCACAAGTGTTATGAAAAAGAAATCTTGGTGAAGTACTTAAGAGCTGTTTTGCATGTGTGTGTGTAACCATAATGTAATAAATATCCTTGTTGTAACTATTGCTGAGAGGCAGTGAAGATTATACTGGCATCTATATTTTCACTTCACTGGATCAGAACAAGAAAATGAAAACCATCTGTATCTTGGGTTATTACTGCAGGCATTTGATAACAGTTATGTACTGCAAAGACAAATACATTTGCCGACTGCAGTCATTTTAAAAGGATCCAGGGGTAGATAAAAAAGAGTTGTCGATATCATGTCAACTTTATTTATCTATAGGCCACCTCACTGACAACTTCTTAATTTGCACTCAAGACAGAGATTGATGATGGTAGTTGAACACTTTACATGTAGAGCTTGCACAACTGTGTGGCTCAAGGGTTACAGAAACAGAGATGGGCACAGAATATTGCATACACTAAAAGGTCTTTAATAATACATTGTACATTATTTTTTAATCTACCTTCTATGAATCCCTTTGAATAGATCTAGATATAAAATCTAAGGTTATCTGCTCACTGGTAATTGAGTCATCACTCCTGAAGAAGGCCAGTGCACATGTTAAAGTGACTGAAAATTCGAAGTAAGCTACATTTTGTATCTTTGCTGGTGTTGATCGAAATTATCAACTTTCATCATGGCATAAAAGATCTGCTCCACAAAAAAAGTTAGATTAAAGTTCTTTCTAGTTTCTTTTCTGATCTAGTTATTCTATCCTGCCCTATATTCCCATGCGGAACAAATCAATACTTCCTGCTCAAAATTGTTCCATTTTGGAAATTGAGACCAATTATATCCTTTCAGCAGTATTGGGCCAGGTGTCCGCTGACTGATTACTTCCTTCAGCTAAGGTAAAATTAGATAATATCCTGACAAGCTGGTGAAATAAAGATGAGAAGAAGAAGCAAGAAAAGCAATAAATCTTTGGCCTTTCTTATCTAATCAGCCAATAAGGTGCATCTGACTGTAAAGCCTGACACACTGAATCTACTGGTACATGTATCTAAAAAGTTGCTTTATTTAATTTGTTCTTTGTAATATATGCATGATGTTGGCCAACTTTGAGGGGGGAATTTGAAAGCGGAGTATGACTAGTATGAGAGATAAAAATCTAAAAGCCTTAAATCATATTAATATATCTGGCCATTGGGACAATAGACTGTTAATCCAAGTATGTTTAAGACATGATATTAGATTTGGCTGATGTAGCCCATCTCTCCAGCTCCTACCAACTTCCAAGGTCACACTGTCCAGGACCAGGCAAGCAACCAGTCATCCGTCTTTTTGTATGATCTTGTCAACCATGATTGACTCTTTTACCACAAACATGTACCCGCCACTCTGATCAGCTCACCCTCTAGAACATGCTGGCCTTCAGAGGCAGCCCACACCGGACTGGACACATCCCCAGGGCCACGTCAGATGGATTAACCTGCTGACAGCTGACCCATGGGGACCACAGCTGGACCTCACATTGGTCAGGGAAGTGGTCAAGGGCACAATTACCAAAGGGGTCTGAATCAAAAGCTGATGTGCACAAAAAAAATAAGGCACACTACATGTATAGCTAGGTCACTTGACAATTTGGAGTGGATAATATTTTAGTAACATCCCGTAACTCAATTTATTCCATCAGTGAGAACAAAGGTAAAGCAGACTAGTCATCCTCAAAAGAGGTGAAACATGATGCTTTTAGCTCTAGTGATAGTGCAATGTCACTTTGCTTTGGGTTGCATTTTTAGCATAGCCTCTACCAGGC